ATATATATATATATATATATATATATATATATATATATATATATATAGTATATTATAATTTGTACTGCATAATAAAATAAAATTTTATAAAATAATTTCCAATTACAATAGTAATACTTACAATTTTAAATATAATATAATAATACAATATTAGCAATAAATGGATAGTAAAAATAAAAATGGTGATAACAATAATAATAATAATAAATAATGGTCTAATAGTAATAGGTAAGAACAATTTCATAAAAAATCGAAGTACTAAAACGTGTTTGCATGATATTGCAGTATATCTTATAATTTTATCTTATTTTATCAGTTAGTTAGCACTAAAAAAGTATGCGGTTTTAACCACTATAAGTTTGGGGTATTTTATTATACAATGACCGATAAAGTGTGCGGTTTTTGTCAATCGACCTTTTTCTGGTCAAAATCAAAAGTGTGAGGTATTCGGATGCAATCAAATTTATCAATAATCAGTTTTCCTGTGAGATAAAGTTTATATTTCACAGATCGGGTACCGAACATCTATTGCCTTTATCGCTCTTGATATTTAGCCGTAACTTGGAAACTGTCGTCAATATAACATTACTATAAATGTATAATTTCTATAGTTATTACTATGCTGCAAGAACATGTGTACCTATGTTTGTTTTTTTCTTTAGGGAGTTTAGTAACTCTGGACTCCACCACCGTAAATACGCCACTGAAATAATTAATTTAATGTAAAAAGCTTGTCTAAATAAATAATGAATAATAAATAATAAACTATTAATATACATATAGAATATGAGATCATACAACTTTCTTTCAATGAATTACTCCATAGGTGTTATAACAAGTTTTGTTATAATATGAATCAAGCAACTTTTGTTGTTTGCGATAAGAAAACTGAATATATTATACATAAAACATTAAAAAAAATTTGAACGTAAATAATTTGAATACTTTGAAAACTACCAATAACATTGAAACTCATGATTTTAAAATTACGATTTCGAAACCAACTACGTAGACAAATTATCGATATGTTATATCTATTTATTTATGTGTACTCAGATACTAAATTATAATAAATGAAATTCAAGTAAATTAAATAATAGTAATACTTCAGAATTGTTTGTAACAGGAACATTTTACACAAATTCATGCCCGTAGCTAGACAAAGTAATCGGTAAGGCAAACCAAATTTTAGGAGGTAATTAGAAAAAATAATATAAACACTATTTTTAATTTATTTATTCTGTTGTAGATTTTTATCTGAAATCCATAAATAATAATCTCATCATAACTCAATATAACTAAATTTTGAATAGTTTTTAGGGCTTGCAATTAGAATTTTGTTTTAAAAATACAAACTAAAAAATATTTTAAATTAAAATATTAAATAATAAAAATGAAATTTTATTTTTTTTTAAATAAAACAGCTGCAATTTTCTATCTTTTTACATTTATTGAATTCCATTAATAATACGTTCAAATTTAAGTTTTCAGTCTATTTATACTCAAATGTCAATAAAGCCAACTTGGGAAGTCGGTTTAGTTTCATTGGTTGCCTTTGAGGATATTCAAGTCGAGTTAAACAGGAAAATAAATATAACTAATAATAAAATAACTTAAAAAAACTTCTTATACTAAATAGTTCTTTTACCACCGATAAAATTATCAAGTAATGAAATGCATACATAATGCATAACATACAACTAAGTAGTGATATGTGCACATTTAACTCTTATTGGAGCGGCATCAAAGGTCCAGGATGGACGATGACAAACATAATAATTGTAATTGCAATAAAAAAAATATTGACAACAGAGTAATTGATTATTGATGAAACAAATTTATTTAATTAATATTGAAAATAAAATTATTATGTCAATGAGGTATTTAATTTGTTTATATTATCAATATAGTTATCTAAAAAATTGTAATTATTATTTTAAAAAGTTAAAAAAATAGATTTATTTTACATTTATACATAACATTACATTTAAGTAGACCGTTTGTACGTATGAATGTAAAAAATATTTAAAGGAAACAAAAAATTGCAAATTTTCTAACTTTAATACACAAAAAATTCACGGTTAAATAATTTATAATATACAATAATAATATATAAATTTTATAATACAAATCTTCTTTCTTTTTGGTATTCATCCCTTAAGGTTGGATTTGCAATTGGATATTCACATTCCACTTTTCTTTGTTCTCAGTTAGTCTTTTCAGTTCGGTGCAACTTGTTAGTTCAGCCTCGGAGATCATTTGTTTGCCAAATGAAGTTCTCATAATACAAATATAAATATAATTAACACTACTTAAATTCTAATTATAGTGTTATACGTAGTGTTTATGGTATTGAACCCTATATTTAAGTAGGGCAGAATCCCTATCTTATAATATTTTGATGGTAAGTGGGTTGTCGTAGATCAAGTGATTGGGTCAGCGAATATTTTATAATTATAATAATACATTTTATAGTTTGTTAGTATTTGCTATCTAGTAGATTAATTTATTTTCTTAGTTGATTTTTTTTTTTTTGATGCCCACATTAATTTAGCCACTAAACAATTATTTTTTTTTTAATTAAACATAAGACATTCCTAGACTAAGGCTATCTAAATCTAGGGATATTTGTAATAATAATAATAGTTTTAACATTATAACATGGTAATTAAAATTAAAATATTTTTAAGTACTAAGGATAATATTAACAATTATAATAATAACAATAATATTCTAATTTTACATATTTACAATAGTAGCTATAGTAACTATAGTCTTAGTGATTTGGAAGAAGCGCGTGAAGATTTGAATGTTGGGAGGTGGCTTAGTGTAGGAGGTCGTGGGGACGACCACGTTTTAATCTACGATGAGTTGGGTGGGTGAGGAGGTTGTAGTGAATTGCACCTGATGAGTTTGGAAGAGAGCAGTGGAAATTCTTAGCTAATATTTTAATATGAGCTTGTATATCTTGAATTTGAAAGTCTTTGTGGAGATTTGCATTTCTGACAAACCACGGAGCATTTGAAATTATTCTTAGAACTTTGTTTTGAACAGTTTGAATTTTTTTGATGTGCGAGGATGCACAGTTACCCCATACCGGGCAAGCGTAAGTAAGAATTGGCCGTATAATTTGTTTAAAAATTAGGAGAGAGCATTTTTTTTTGAATAGTTGAATTTTTGTTCAGGATTGAATAAAGCATTGAGATGCGCTGGTATGCTTGCTGGACTTTGGATGAAATGTGGGGCCACCACGAGAGTCGTTTGTCAAGAGTTACACCGAGGTATTTAACCGTCGGTTGCCAGGGTATATTTTCGTTGTCAAATTTTAGTTGTGGGGGAGTAGTATAGCGACGTAGACTAAAAATAACACCTATGCTCTTCGAGGCGTTGATTTTGATCCTCCAGTTTTGACACCAGTGTGAGAGGGTATTTAAGTGATCTTGCAGATTTGAGAATATTGCTTCGATGTTGCGTGATTCCGTGAAGATGGTTGTATCATCAGCGAAGAGAACAATTTGTGTGCGTGGTGATTGAGGGATGTCGGAAACGTAAAGGTTGAATAAAATAGGGCCAAGTTTTGAACCTTGAGGTATACCAGCATAAATAGACTTAAGGTTAGAGGCACTGTCGTTAATTCTGACTGAGTATTGTCTATTTGAGAGGAAAGAACGAATTATATTAAAAAGATATGTTGAAGTATTAATGTTACGTAGCTCAAAAAGGAGGCCTTCATGCCACACTTTGTCAAACGCCTTTGAAATATCAATAAATATTGCGCCAGTCTTAGTTGATAATATTTGCTTAATACAAAAATATTATCAGACTCTTGATCCAGTCGTAATATGGTAATGTCTTAC